AGGAGTAGGGCACTGGCCCCATATGCTGGAGGTGGTGGGTTCAAACCCAGCCCAGGCCAAAAACTGCAAAAAACAAACAAACAAACATTCTTATATCCCTGCTTCACCTAGTAGAGGGAAAGTTTTGGGTCCAGTGCTCTAGTTTCCTCAAGAGGGCTCCCCATAGGACTGGCTTCTGTTGTAACAATCTTGGCGCTATCGTGTGTCTCATACAATCAAGCTACCAGAGAGAGAATCCACAGTGACTTCAGCTTCAGATGTCATTGCTCCTCTTCCCTGCTCAGCACAGAGCTAATAGATGATAAATCTCAGCTCTGCATTTCCGTCTAGGGAGAAAATGAGTTCATTCATACACCTGCTGTTTAAACTTCTCAGTGACTACCAAAAGAATTAGTATCTTTCTCTATAGTCTTAATGTTATGAAGGATCTGGCATAGTCTATATGGCCAGGGAAGAAAGGAAATGAGACCTTAAGTTTCCAGATGTTATGCTTTTCCTCAATTCCCTCATACTCATCCACTCAGCTCAGAGTGAGGAAATAAAAACCACAGATTCCTGCTTCTGCTTGGTGAGGGAAAGAGATGGAAAAGGCCCCAGATATCTGTTTGGTAATATCCCTCTCTTGCATGAGGCCAGTGCCTGGAGGATTAGAAAACAGCCTCCTTTATCTAATGTGCAGATACCAACACAGTGTGTCAAAGAAAATTAAAAATTAGGCAAAGAAATTCTAAAAAAGGAATATAACTAATCTCCAGAAACTCACTGTAATGACATGGAGATAGACCATGTATGTGATGTGGAATTAAAAATGACTCTCATAATGTTATTGATATTAAGAGAAGAAAATCATGAATAAAGAGAGTTTCACAAAAGATACAGGCTACTCAATACTAATATGAAGCCAGCAGACAATCTAAGTAGGGGCCCTCAAACTTTTTAAACAGGGGGCCAGTTCACTGTCCCTCAGACTATTGGAAGGCTGGACTGTGGGCCCTAGAACAAGTTGGCTGCTAAGCAGGACAGGCAGTGGTGGCAAAAACACCCGGCGGGGCGGATAAATGTCCTAGGTGAGCTGCATGTGGTCCACAGGCCATAGTTTGAGGATATCTGATTCTAATGCATGCCCAAATAATATAAAAACTCATTTCAATTCAAGTTGTGGGGAGGGGTGACAAGGAAGAGGGCAAAGGGTTGGGATGCTCTTACTGAATGGGGATGGGGTGGAGGGAATTCGCACAACTTTTTGTGAGTGGGACATAACCACATGAGGGACTCTATCTAAAAAAAAAAAAATTAAATATTTTGGCCTGGTTGTTTGTACCCTTACATTAACCTGAATTAAATTCACTTTTAAAAAGGTAAAAATAAATAAAGAAAAAAAAGAAAGATACAAGACATATTTAAAAGTTACAAATCCTCACTCTCTCCCCCCTCCTTCTCTCTCTCTCCTTCTCTCTTTCTTTCTCTCTTTCTTCTCTCTCCCTCTCTCTCCCTCTCCTTTTCTCTCTCCCTTTTCTCTCTGTCTCTCTCCTCTTTGCTCTCTCTTCTTCTCTCCTACTTGGTGCTGCTCTGCAGCCTCCCTCCCCCACCAACAAAGACTTACTGTAAAAGCAAAATAGAAGAAAAAAGTTACAAATCAAAGCATGGACTTGAAAAACAAAATAATTTTTTAAAAATTCACTAGAAGAGATAAAAGACTAGTTAAAAGAGGGGGAAAAGGGATCAGTGAACTCAGAGAGGTAATTGAAAATAATTTAGTCCCTAGACCATGAAATGAAAATAATAAGGGAAGTTTAAGGAAATTATGTTGTTGTATTGAGACCCATTGTTGCAAGACCTCCCTTTTCTAGTTGAGTGACTACTGAGGAATTTCAAGGGTATGTACCCTTTTCTTTCCTTCTTTAATTTTTTCTATTTTAAACCTTGGGAGCCAGATGTAAAAGACTAGGACATTCCAAAACAAGTGCATACACAGAATATTGTAAGGTATTCATACATGCCCAGAGAAAGATACAGGTTCAGGAAAAACCTGAGATTTTTAAGTTTATACCACAGGCTGAACATAGGCAAAGAAACTGCTAACAACAATAAAAACAAACTAACAAACAATAAAATAATAACAAAAACAGCAAACCATGGGGAAGGAGAATATGAATTCCAGAGTTATCACATTATTCAAATATCTAGTTTTCAACAAAAAAATAATAATATGTAAAAACCCAAGAAAGTATGGCATGTAGCATATTCACAATGAAAACTCAAACAGAAACTTTCTCTGAAAAAGCCCTGATGGGCATATGTTTTGACAAGGACTTTAAAATAACTGTTTTGAAGGTGCTCACAGAACTAAGGGAAGATGTGGAGAACATAAAAAACAGTAAGTATGGAAAATATAAAAATATCGATGAAGATATAGAAATCTTGAAATATATAAAATAATTGTGCTAAAAGGTAAAATAATGCAGCTAAAAAATTATTAGAGGGATTCCAAGGAAGATTTGAATAGGCAGAAAAAAGCAATGAGCTTGAAAGTAGGAAAATAGAAATTAACACATCTGAGGAAAAGAAAAAAACTGTGCTGAAGAAAGGTAAACAGATTCTGATGACCTGTTGAATAGCATAAAGCAGACAAATATGTGTTTGGGAGTATCAAAAAAGGAAGAGGATAAGTCACTCATTTTATTTGAAAAATAAAAGCTCAAAACTTACTAAATCTGATGAAATCTAAAAAGGCCAAACTCAAAAAAGTAGAGAACTGAATGATGTTTACCAGAGGCTTTGGGAGGGGGGTGATTGGAGAAAGGGAAGGTACTGATCAAAAAAGTTTCAGCTGGATGGGAAGAATAATCTTTAGTGATCTATTGCACAAAATGATGGTTACAATAAATAATAATGCAGTGTATATTTCAAGATTGGTAAAGGACCAAATTTAAATGTTTCACCACTAAAATGTCTTAAGTGTTTGAGGTGATGGATTTGCTACTTAGCTTAATTTAATCATTCCACAATGTAACCATATGTTAAAACATTATATTGTACTCTATAGATACACATAATTATTATTTTTCATTTAAAAATAAAAGTTTAAAAACCAAGAAAACCTTTATTCATAAGACAAAAAAAGTTCACTTTATTCACCAGGAGGGAAATGTATACCACTAATTTATCATATCTTACCACTGATTAACAATAGATTATAAGAAATAAAAATAAAGGTATTAATGCAAGCCTAAATGAAATTTAACTTAAGAGTCATCTCTCTGTACAATGAGTGAAATTGTCAGGAAGTACAACTAACAATTACATGTGAACTGCCAACAAAGAAACTATTTTTCAAGCCTGAGAAAACTTTGAAAAGTAACAGTGATTTACTATTCATCTAACATGTCCTGGATCCATACCTCTGTGTGTACTCTTTGGGTAGGATAAATGATAATTCGGATGCAACATTGCTCTCCAAACTGGCAGTTGGTATGTGCTGATTAATCAGTTGGACAATATTTTCAATATCACAATCAGGCTTCTTCACCATGATAACGTGATATCCCACACCTGAAAAGACCCATGTGGAAAACCAAATGAAGCAGTATAAATTTTTTTTTCATTTTTTTATACTCTTTGTAAAACATTCTTCATCTCTATCATTCAGGTTTGCTAGGTGCATAGGAAAGAAGACATTACCTGTCATAAGTGATCTGGCTATGACTAAGGAGATATATCACTAAAGTTGTCAAATACTCTAAGGGTTCTGGGATGATAATGATATAGATTATAGAAAACAACAGTAAAAGTCCTCTGTTATATAAGCCCCTTTCTTCATGAAACTGCAATCTGAAATCTGAGAGTATAGTGGCAAATGTTAATTCATTCAGTACATGTTTATCATACACCTACTGTGAGACAGGCAATATCCTAGATCCTAAGGATACAGCAGTTATCCAGAAAGCTAAAAATGTGGGGGAAAAAATCCACAAAGCCAAAAATGTCATGATTTATAGTTCAGTGAGGAGATAGATAAGTAAAATTAATCAGAAAAATGTGTAGTGCATTAGTAGCAGTGCTAAGGAGAAAACAGGAGAAGGAAAGGGCAAAATAAAATGATAAAGATGAAGTGTTGAAATTTAGATGTGGCCCAGAGAACATCTAACTAAAAAAGTAATATTGAGAAAGACCTGAATACAGTAAGGCAGCAATCAGGGCTTATTCTGCATTTTGCATGTATAGAAAAATTCCTTATATTGGAAAAAAAGTCACTGGAATATCCAGCAGAAAACTCCTCTCACTTTTCTCTCCCCAGTTATGAAAACAAAAAGTCAAATCTTAGATCTTAAGCATTAGAAATGGTCTCAGGAAATGCTCTATCTCAGTCACCTGCTTATAGCAAGGAAGAAATTATTATTCCATTTTGCAAATTAAAAAACCAAGGTACAAAATTGAGTGGTTTATCACTGTGGGCTACTGAAATTCATATTGTATTTGGTGTAGCTGTACAATGTTGTACAAAGTGAAAGTTTCTCTTTACTCTCTTCTTTGAAAGCATAAGTAATTTAACTTTCCTAGTCTATCATATGTAATTTTTTTAATGCCGCCTTTGTGAAGAGAGGACAGGCAATTACTGAAATCCAAATGTTGATTGACACCATGTAAATTTACATATCAACACAGAGTAAAATGCAGTAAGTTTTTAGTGCCTAAAGAATGCCCTGGGAATTGATATTGATTTAGCAAAAATCTGAAAAAGTCAAGTGGTCAGAAATATCTGGTCACTAACTTTCCTATAAGTCATTACCCTATCTATATATCTCTTGGAGACATTAGCTTTTTTCATGAAAAATTAACAGTTAAGTAGGAGCCACATGGGAGAAATAAACATAACTTCTGTGAGGCTAGGAAGGAAATTTTTCAATTACTTATTGGGTCATAGTGGGAAAAAAAAAACTGAATAAATAAGACATGTTTAAATTTCAAGAGCCATAAAAATCAACTGAAATTGTTTAGAACTAGTGCGATAGGACATAGATTGCTATTAAAGATCTGTGTAGAGAAACAGAAACAATAATGAAAATTATTTTAGAATATATTATTAAGGTATTAGCATCCAAAGAAGGATCAAAATGAGAGAGACCATATTTTCTTTTCAGGAAAACTGGAGAGCCACAGCACCGCAGGGTCCCTTTGACCATGATGGCAATGCGATCACCCAGGATGTCAGCTTCATCCATTTGTTGGGTAGTCAGTAAGATTGTACGACTCTCTTTATACTGCTGAAGGATATCCCAGGTAGCTCTCCTTGAAACTGGGTCCATGCCAGCTGTTGGCTCATCAAGTATCACTACCTAAAGACCAGAACAAAACTTTCAAGACCATATTTAACTTACATTGTGCCACTAGTGGCCTAATTTATTATTAATGAGAGATATATTTAAGCTAAGATACAGAATGTAGACTCTACCAGAATTAAGAACTCATAAAAATTCATAATTTCAAACTCATTATCACATGGTATCAGCCAGCCAAGAATACCAATGCCCTCTATCATTTGGGAAATTTCTTTTAGAGAGTTAGATACTTATCAGCTCTCAGGCTTGTACCAGCTGAGTTTAAAGATTAGCTGGAACAAGGATCCATGTTAATTAAGTCTTATTTACCTTGGAGTCCCCCAGAAGTGCTATGCTGAGAGAGAGTTTGCGCTTTGTTCCTCCACTCAGATTCATTGAAAGCACATTACAAACATGTAACAGGCCAAAATCAGTCAGCACTTTCTTAATTTCTATGGAACGTTTCTCTGGAGGTACTCCTTTTACCTAGAAAGAGAAGCCAGAATGTACATGGTACTTCCAACTTTATCCTTAGAAAATTGTTATAACTTTTCTTACATAGCTTTCTAGATACTTTTTTTCTTCCCTTTGACTCCCTTTATGATTAAAAAAAGCCTGAAAAATGAACTTTTACAAAATAAAGGTAATAATATTGATCCTTGGCCTCGAGTATGTGTAAAGAGTGGGGAAAGAGAGAATAGATAACTCCGGCTCACCACACTGTAGAAATAAAGATGTTCTGATGGGGTCAACTTCTTAAACAACAGGTTATCCTGGGGACAAAAGCCCATGATTTTCCTAGCTTGAATTGTGTTTGTTGAGATGTCATATCCATTAATACAGACCTTTCCTCTGGTAAAAGGAAGGAGACCTAGAATTAAGCAGGGATCACAACAGAAGCAAAGCTTCAATGAGAAAATTTGACAATAATGCAGGTATACTATAAATTAGCACCTCAACTTCATAGTATACTTAGGAATTACTCAAAAGATTTAGGAATATTGTCTACAGAAAAGTTTGGCATATATCAATGATTATATTCTGATGATAAGAAAAGAAATATTCCCTTTTTTGTTTACTCATATATTCTAATTTTCAATGAATAAAACTGAATTATTTAAGGAATAAAAATGTTTTGAAGAATTTATTATATTCCAGAATTCTAGTTCTGCTGTCAGTCATTTGACATTTAAAAATCACATTATGATCTGAGAACTGCACTATGAACTCTGTGTGCATTTTTTTTACTTAAAAATTCAGAAGACAATATCCTTATGCTCACAAAGTTAATATCTAGTTGGGAGATAAAACAACAACATAAAATAGTTTTAAATTATTTGCCATTATATGCATAAATGGAAACTGTCCAGCAGTTATTTTTCCTTTTTTCCTCATCTTTTTATATTAGAATATTAAGTGGGTACACGCATTTTGGTTACATAATTTGCTTTTGTACATTTTAAGTCAAAGTTCCCAGTGTGCTCTTCACCCAGAAAATGTGCACTGTACCTATCCCCTGTTCCCCTTTTACACCTATTTGAATTCCATTGAGTTTTGCTTCCATATGTGCACATAAGTGTTGATCAACTAGTTTGAATTTAGTATTGAGTACATGTTGTTTTTCTTTTCCATTCTTACTTCACTTAGAAGAATGGTTTCCAGTTCTATCCAGGTTGTTACAAAAGATATGATAATACCATTTTTTAATTTAATTTTTATTAAATCATAACTACAAAGATTTATGGGGTATAATGTGATGATTTTATATATAATGTGGAATGCTTAAATCAAATTGATTAACATAACTATCATCTCACTTATTTTTTGTGGTCAGACATGTATAATTTACTCTTAGTTGTTTTGAAATGTACCCTTGCATTGTGCACCTTAGGCAATTCAATCACCATTTTTAATGGTTTTTACTTCTTTGAATTATCTTGATACTACATTCCACAGAGGTTATACTACCACCAACAGTGTAATTAAGAGTGTTCCTTTCTCTCTGCATCTTGGCTAGCATCTTGTGCTTTGGGATTTTTTGATAGGAGCCATTCTTAATGGAGTTAGTTGATATTTCATTGTAGTGTTGATTATATGTCCTTGACGATTAGAGATGTTGAGAATTTTTTCATGTGCTTGTTGGCTATTTGTCTATCTTCATTTGAAAAGTTTCCATTTGTTTATATTGCCCATTTTTAATAGGGTTGTTTGATCTTTTCTTCCTGATTAGCTTGAGTTCCTTGTAGATTTTAGTATCATCCCTTAACTGATGCATAGCATGCAAATATTTTCTCCCATTCTGTAGATTATTTGCTCTATTGATTGTGTCCTTGCCTGTGCAGAAATTTTTTAGTTTGGTCAAATCCTATCTGTTTATTTTTGTTGTTGTTACATTCTCATACTACCATCTGACATTCTACGAAAATTAATAAATGGGACCTAATCAAGTTTAAAAAGTTTGTGTATTGCCAAAGACACAATCCATAAAGCAATCAGATAACCTACAGAATGGTAGAAGAAATTTCCATGCTACACATCCAATAAAAGACTGATAAACAGAATCTACAAAGAACTCAACAAGAGTTGAGTTGCAAATCAACAAGAAAAGATGAAACAACTCCATGAAAAATCGGGCCAAGGAATTGTAGGATCAAATGGCAGGGTCTATTTTTAAATCCCTAAGTGTTCACAATTTCTCTACTAGGTATATATCCAGAAGACCAAAAATCGCTTTATAACAAAGATATTTGTACCAAAATGTTTACTGAAGCCCAATTCATAATTGCTAAAGTCATGGAAGAAGCCCAAGTGCCCATCCACCCACAAATGGATTAATAAATTGTGGTATATGTACACCATGAAATATTATGCAGCCTTAAAGAAAGATGGAGACTTTACCTCTTTCATGTTTACATGGTTGGAGCTGGAACATATTCTTCTTAGCAAAGTACCTCAAGAATGGAAGAAAAAGTATCCAATGTACTCAGCCCTACTATGAAACCAAGTTATACTCCAAGAATATGGGGGAAAGGGATAGGGAGAGGTTGGGATGAGGGAGGATAATTGGTAGGACCACACCTATGGTGCATCTTACAAAGGTACATCTTAAATTTATTAAATGTAGAATATAAATGTCTTAACACAATAACTAAGAAAATACCATGAAGACTATGTTAACCAATTAGATGAAAATATTTCAAATTGTATATAAAACCAGCACATTGTACCCAACAATTACATTAATGTACACAGCTATGATTTAATAATAAAAAAAAATTGGACCAAAGATAGAAACTTTTCTAACAAAAATAGACTAATGGTCAAAAATACATGAATAAAGCTCAATATCTCTATTCATGAGAAAAAACATTAATCAAAACCACAATGAGATATCATGTAACTCCAGTGAGAATGGCTCACATCATAAAGTCCCAAAGCAAGGGATGTTGGCATGGATATGGAAAGAAAGGAACACTCATAAAGTTTTGGTGCAACTGCAAAGTAGTTAAACAACTAGGGAAAGTAATCTGGAGATTCTTCAAAGAACTTAAAGTAGACCTACCATTTGACCCCTCAATCCCACCACCAGGTATTTAACAAAAGGGGAAAAAAGACATTTTATACTTAAAAAAAAGATACTTGTACTTGAATGTTTATAGCAGAACAACTCACAATCAGAAAGATGTAGAAACACCCCAAAGGCCCATCAATTCATGAATGACTTAATAAAATGTATATGTATACCACAGAATACTATTTAGGCATAAAAAGATAGTGATCTAGTAACTTTTGCAACAACCTGGATGGAATTGGACAGCATTCTCCTAAGTGTATTGTAAGAATGAATAAACAAAGACTACATGTACTCAAAACTAAAGTGGAACTAGTTGATCAACATTTATGTGCTCACATGGAAGTAAAAATCAACAAAATATAAGGATCTAGGAAAGGGGAAAAGGGATGAGTAAATACCCACCCACATGTGCATCACAAGGTACTTTATACACTTTCTGGGTGAGGGGTATACCTATAACTCTGACTTAAAATATACAAAAGTAAGCTATATAACCAAAACATGTATATTCCCCATAATAATCCAAGATTTAAAAAGACTTCAAAAGCATAGGCAAAAAAAGCCAATGAACAAGTAGGATTATATCAAACCATATAAAGCTTATGCCTCACAAAGGAAACAGCGTAAAGAGACAAGCTACAGAAGCCATGGAAAATAGTATGGAACTATCTTTAAAAATTAAAAGTAGATCTAATACATAATACAGCAATTCTACTATTGGGTATAAGTCCAAATAAAATGAAATAAGTGTGATGAAGAGATATCTGCATTCTCATATTTATTTCAACCCTATTCAAATAGCCAAGATATGGAATCAACTTATGTGTACAACAATAGATGGATGGATAAAGAGAAGGTGGTATATATAGACACAATGGAATACCACAAAAGGAAGAAATCTTATCATCTGAAGCAGAATTGATGAACCTGGAAGATTTAATGTTAAATGAAATGAGTAAAACACAGACAAATATCATGCGCTCTAATTCCTATGCAGAATCTTAAAAAGTTAATCTCATAGAAGGCATGAATAGAATAGTGTTTACCAGCAACAGGGGAAAATAAAGGAAAGAGGAGATGGGTAGTGAATGGTCAATTAGTACAATGTTATGATTAGAAAGGAAGAATAAATGCTGGTATACTATTGCACAGTAGGGTGACTATAGTCAACAAAAGGTATCATATGACAAAATAGCTAGCAGAAAGGATTTTATATATCCTTACCACAAAGATTAAGGCAATTATACAATGTATATATGTATCAAAACATCACATCATACTCCTAAATATGTACAATTATATGTATAAATTAAAAAGTTTTAAAAGAGCATACACAGAAACCTCCTAGCTTGGTCAACAGTTCTCTACTGATGGTGATCCTAAATACCTACTTGTGAGAATAGATAAGGTAGTAGTCTTTCCTGCTCCATTAGGTCCCAGAAGAACAGTGATCTGTCCCTCATATAAATTCAAAGACAAATCTGCTGCTATTATCTTAGTATTGTGTAATGTAAATTCCTGCAAAAAGAATGAAATACTAACTTTATATCTATTACTATTACTTATAAAGACCAAGCACTCATATTAATTATTCAGAGAAGAAAAAAAAATCACTTAACTCAAGAGGGTGAAAAATCAAACTATAGATAGAATTGTAAAAACTAAGGAGTACTTAGATGTAATGTATGGGCTGATCTTCAAAGTAGGTCTACAAATTCCATGTAAACAATTTCCACTAGTCCTCCTTCGCGCTAATTACTGTCTTGAAACTGATAATGCTACAATATGCTCTAGGCAATGTTTTTCTCCTACATTATAGAATTGACTTTTGGAAACCCATTTATAGTTAGTTATCCTATAGGCACTTCAAACTTTACTCATTATCACATAAAAAAATGTATTCTTCTTGCTATATTCTTTATCTTCATGAGTTACACAATTCACTACCTAGATCAGTGGTTCTCAACCTGTGGGTTGCAACCCCATTGGTGGTTGAATGACCTTTTCACAGGGTTGCCTAAATACATCCTACATATCAGATATTTACATTACAATTCATAACAGTAGCAATATTACAGTTATGAAGTAGCAACGAAAATAATTGTATAGGTGGGTTCACCACAACATGAGGAGCTGTATTAAAGAGTTACGGCATTAGGAAGGTTGAGAACCACTGACCTAAATGTACATGCTAGAAATGTGGGACTTACCTTAGCTATCTCCCTCTATCTCAGCATCAATAAATAAGCACAACTAATCAATTCATTCAAAATATAATTACTGTTTACCATGTGGCATACATTCACTATGTAAGGTACAGTGAATATATTTATGAATAAGAGAGACATAGCTTCTGCTCTCATTGAAGAAAGCTTATAGTAGAATAAACCACCAAAAACCTATAGTATATAATATATAATAAATTATTAGATGTTGTATGAAACATCTACTCCTTCTAACACACTGTAGTTCAAGCTAGTATGGGGACTACACACCTGCTGCAGACTTCAGTATTGATCAGGGAGATGTTTGTGACATTGTACCTAGGAGTGGGCACAGCAGGAACCCGCTGACCTCTATTCCCAGGTCACTGTAGCTGACACAATTCTGAGCTCTCAGGCACAGAGCATCTTAGCTTTGTGCTTAGCATCAGAGCTTAGCTTTGCTGCAGCCACTTCTGCATTGCCTCAGCCAGGCTGGTGGGGTTCGGAGGGGGTGGAGAGAGCAAATGCTCTTGAGTGTCTATGACTAGGAACCAAGCACCTCTCTTTCTCACTGGACAGTCAAGAAGACTAGGCACCACAGATGCCATCTGAGGAAGCTTGAAGTAACTGACTCAGTGGGTCCTTCAGACACTTTGAAAAATACAGCAGGCAACATCCTATACTGCACGTCTGGAGAAAAACTGTGAGTGCATCCTCTGTGTATGAAAGGGGAAGAAACCACCTTCCTAATACACATTCCCTCTGGGCAGACAGCAAGTATGGGCCCCTTGATCTTACCAATTTGACTTGGAGAACAGTGAGGAAACTGTTAGAACGAGTGGCATTGGGAAGTGCTTAACATGCTCCCAGAATTCAGCACCAATAGAAGGAAGTCTGATGTCATAGGGAGGTGTATGGAAATCTGGCAGTAAACACAGGCAGTGGTCTGGATTAGAGATTCTCTGTTGTTACACTTGTGGTCAAATTTTGTGTGTGGAAGAAGCTCCCATGACCAGAACTGAGAATTGAGCCATGGGCAGAGAAGTAGGGTGTCCTTCCTTTGTGGAACCACACTAGGAAGTGTGTGTCCTGGTAGCTACAGTTTTTGTCCTGGACAAGGATTTTTGAAGCTTAGGGTAATTTCATGATCTGAGGACAGATTGCCTATGACATGGCTGACTATTTCACCTTGCTGCCAGTAGTGGATTATAGGAGGGAGACCTGCTGGATTGAAAGCAGGGAAGTAAGGCATATCCCACTATAATCTGCCAGGTATGGAACTCCAGCCACCCCTCTTTCCTTGTGCTCTTTGGCACAGCAGAGGTTACTGTGCTCCTTCCTGTAGTGTTGAAACTGCAGCCTGAGAACTGCCTTTGGACTCCCATCAGGGCCAGTGCTTGCACTACTGTTGTGAAGCCTGAACACAAACTTACCTGACCCATCCCTTCCTAGTGTTTCTCTACCCACAATCCCTGCCTCAGAGGCAGAGTACAGATGGGAACCCCTGGGAGTTCCACAGCCCAGCCCATTACCTAGGACACCTAAGTATTTCTCCTGGGAAACAAAGGTCAAACATAAACCTTGCTACCACAGTGACACCTTCTGGTCTGGGGTCAATCTGCGCAACCTATTACAACATCTCCTGACATAACTGCACAATGCTCAGGAAGAAGACAAGCTTTGCATAACCTCTGCTACCACTATTGTCCACACCACCCCAGCTACTTAGAAGGCCTTGAGCCCTTTCTTACTTAGTACAGTACTCCTACAACTGTTAGTTGTGAAAGCAACTACACTAAGACTATCTGTAACCCTGTATATCTTACAGATTCCTGTCAGGACTGGTGCTTATACCTGTGATTGAGGGACTGAAGAGCAGGCTTGCCCCAACCAGCACTGATCAATTATACCTAAACCCCCAGGACTGCAGAGTTCAGGTCAATATACCACAGACTAGTCCAGTGGCCTGAGGCATTGAAGAGACTCTCTTAGTAAATAAAGATCAAAGATAAACTCTACTACTGCCATTATAGCTGACTCTACAAGCATCACTTAGTCATATGGAGGTTAAACTGCACAGACCAATTCAAATATAGTACAAGTGCTGCCATTATAGCTGGCTCTATAAGCATCACTTAGTCATATGGAAGTTAAACTGCACAGCCCAATTCAAATATAATACAAGTGCACAATGCTTGAGCATGAGATAAGCTTCTTGAGGCCTCTGTCACCACAGCTCTGGAGGAGGCTAAGAGCCTGCTCTCATGGCCACTACTAAATTAATACAATTACTATTACTACAACTACTATCTATCACTGTGTGTATTGCTATTACTATTATCATTACTAAAACCAGCATTTGAGAAAGCCACAACACTGACGCTACCTATAAATAAGAAATACATGCAGAATTTTGGCCACTAAAAGTACCCAGAAGCAAATCCAAATTATCCTACTCTACATAAATTATATCTATATACTCAAAGAAAAAAAAAAAAACAGGACTTCTGAAAATGAAAAACTCCTTGAAAGAATAACAAATACAGCTTAAAGGCTCAACAATAGACTAGATGTAGCACAAAAAAGAATCAGAACTTGAAAAATGGTCTTTTGAATAATCCAGTCAGGCAAAAATAGAGAAAAAGAACTGAATTTTTTCCATGATGGATGACTAGAAACAATGGTCACCAGTTCTCCTCAGAAGGAAGAACATAAGTTATAGTAAGCATGGCCCAAATAGAATACTAAGAGAAGAGTGCCAAAATCTGCCAGAGATCCCACAGGAAGAAGCAGGGGTACAGAAGAAGAAAGAAATAAAAGAGTTTGGCAGGGATTGATACCTAAGGAACTTGAAGTTCCAAGGAGAGGGAAGGTGGAGTTTCTTTTTTCTCCCCTCTTCCTTGTGTCAGACTGATGGATCTAAAATTTTGGAGAGGGCACAGCAAGATAGTGGACTAGAGACAGCTTCTTTGCATCCATGCATGGTGAGACTGAGGGGGAAAGACTTCAGACACCTCTGCCCAGAAACATCCCTTCAGGGACACAGAGAGGCAGTGGGAGACTTCAGGACCCCAAGAGGAGGACGAAAGGAGTGGGGAAGTGGCAAGTACTTGTGTGTGGACGAGGCTTGCTGGTGCAGCTGAGGGGAAGGTGGTCACAATAACAGTTTGCAGACAGAGAAGTCCTGCCCTGTGGCTTTTTTTTTTTTAATTGCACATGGGCACTTGGTTGAGTTACCTTGGGAGAACTTGGGTGAGTGAGTGATTTTGAATAGCATCCAGGGGCTGGGACTGAGCCACAGGGTAAAGCTCAACTTTCATTGTTTGGCTACAGACAGGGCACAGCCATTGTGGGAAAGCCACCTTTAAGGGTCAGCCCTCAGGGTGCTAGTGCAAGGCTGGTTCTGGCATATCTGATAAGTGGGGAGATTCCAGCAACACACACTTTCCTGGGAAAGCCACAGCATAGTCAAGGGACATGGTTTGGAAAGGTTAAGGTGTTTCTATTAAATGGACTGAAGAGAGCTTCAGGCTCCCAAACCCTATGAGGACTGAGGACAAAGAGGTCAGGAAGATTGGATCAGGTCCCTTTGGCAAGACAGAAGCTACCAGTTTCCATCTTATACAGTTATGCAGCTGTATCAGCATCGTGATTATCATCTCATACCCCAGAAGATCACCTGTTGCCCAGGTAATATATAACCAGATAGATAGATGTAATGTGTGTGTGTATGTAATGTGTATATGATATGTATATACAGAGACACATTATATACACACACACATAGAGAGAGACAGAGAGTTTTTCTTCATAAAAATTTTTTTTCAAGGTTTCCCCCATAGATTTTTCTTTTTCTTCTTCTTTGTTCTCATGTAATTGTAATTTTTAATTGTTTCCTTTTCAATAATAAGGGCTTTTTTTTTGGTAATTTTTCTGCCCCTGTTATTCTTTTTTCCACCAATTTTATGACTTACAGTTTTTTGTTTCTTTGTTTCATTTTGATTTATAGTATTTTTCTTTTTCTTCTCTACTAGGTAGAGATGGGGGTCTTATGTTTGCTCAGGCTGGCAAAGAGCTCTAGACCCAAGGGATCCACCTAACACTGAGCCCCAGATGTTGGGATTTGTGGGTATGGGCCAAAATACCCTGCTGTGTACCAGTATTACTATACTCTCTCTCTTTCTGTTCCTCTCTTTTTTATGTAAATCTTCCCTTTTATTCTCCCATTTTCCTTTCTCTTTTCTCTCTCTCTCTCTTTTAAAATCTTTTATCCCTTCTT